GGCTGCCCGCGCCGCCCTCACATCCGCGGCCCGCCCGCGGGGGTGCGCCCATGAGCCCCTTGGCGAGGACGGCGGGTCAGGCCGCGCGTGGTCGTTTCCTCGGGGCCCCCCGAGGGCTGTGGGGACAGCCCCTCTCCATCCCCCGGGGTCGGCCCTGCCGAGTTTGCGGGGGGGCTCCTCGTGGGGTGGGGCGGCTCCGGGAGGACGTGCCCGAAAGACGGTCTATGGAGCACAAAGTCCGGCTAGCCGGGCGGCCGACCCCGCCGCGCGCTCGCCGCCGCCGCCCCACCTTCCTCCCGCCGCCAGCCGAGCAGCAACACGCAGGCCTGAGGCGCAGCCCCGCCCCCACGCACATGCGTGCGAGGCCCTGCCCGCTCCCGCCCGCCTGCACGAGGGCCGGAGGAGGGCGGGTCCCCAGGTTACTGGGCTTGTTTATCCATCAGGCTTGGTAAGGCACGGGGTCCGTTGTCTGGGAGCTTTTCAGGGATCTACCAAAACGTTTGACAGCAGAGTACAAAAGAAAAAGACCCTAAAACTTTAATCATTATGTTATTGTTACTATCTATGAGATTCCTAATAAACTTCGGTCTGTATGCGTGTGTCTCTTCTAGGTATATCATATTAATGGGAGCTTACAATATTTGTCCTTTTGTGTCTGATTTATTTCACTCAGCATAGTGTTTTCATGATTCATCCATATCATAGTATATATCAGGATGTCACCTTTTATGGCTTAGTAATATTCCATTGTACAGATATGCCACATTTTGTTCACCCATACATTTGTTGATGGATACTTGGGTTGTTTCCATCTTTGGGTATGGTGAATAATGCTACAATGAATATTGGTTCATAGGCGTCAGTTTGAGTCTCTGCTTTCGAGTCTTTGGGGTATATATGTTGTGCATTGGTGTACAAGTATTGTGAAATATATTTTTACCACAATAAAAAAATGAGGCAACCACCAAAAAATGCCTATGACATCTAACATTTCAGCGGGAGAATTGCAAATCATATAATTGACATGGTGGGCAGGTCTCTGTAAATAAGAGTACCGAGAAACTGCAGGGCCACCTGAGTGGCTGAGAAGTACCTGTACAGGCTAGATGAAAGTCCCTAGAGCCCAGGAGAAGAAGAAAATTGTAGTGAGGCCCCACAACCACCCTTCACCACACACTCAGGCCATGTCAGTTAAAACTATGCACCATCCTAAAGCATAAACCATGGGAAAGGATGGGCCTAGCTTCAGGTGTGGCTGGATCTAGAAGCTTATAGGATATTGGGCCATGTACTCATCATTCTGGGAAGGTGAGGCGTAAGGATAGCTTCTTCTGATCAGCCAGGCATGGGTCTTCTGACTCCTGTGGTAGGAAGGGAGTGGAGTGAACCTTCAGCAACCAAATGTACTGAGAATCCAGGAGAAAGGTGGCTTTCCAAAGGAAAACTGAGTATGGATGCAATACAAGCTAAAACATCAGATGTCCTCCAGTGACTCTTTAGTGAATTCCTTCACAATTTCTCCCTCTAGTTCCCTCCATCTTACCCCCACTACCTGGCCTGGCCTGTTGAGACTGGCTTTTACTCATTTGCTTGCCTTCAGGAAGTTCAGCCTCAGACCAAAGCAACTGAGCCCCACCCTCAACCTAGCCCTGAAAGAGGGCTCCATTCTAGTCCTGGATCCAAGGTATCCATGCTCCAGGCACCCAAGCTCATTGCCACCAAGTCAATTCTGACTCATAGCAACCCTATACGACAGAGTAGAACTGCCCCAATAGGGTTTCCAAGGAGCAGCTGGGGGATTCAAACTGCCGACCTTTTGGATAGCAGCCAAACTCTTAACCACTGCGCCACGAGGGCACCCCAGTCCCTAGAATTCTCTGCCCAAACAGCCTGGGCCACTTCTAGGTCCTGAATGGGGCTCTTCTGCCAGTGGGGTCTCCAGGATCGGCTCCTCTCCCTTGGCATGCCCTGGCCCAGCCTCTGTCCTGAAGCTCTCATGCTCTCTGCTCTCATAAACACATTACTGTTGGGTCGATTCCAACTCATGGTGACCCCATGTGTTACACAGTAGAACTGAGCTCCATGGGGTTTTCTTGGCTATAATCTTTAGGGAAACAGATCACCAGGACTTTCTATCAGTGTGCCGCTCTGTGGGTTCAAACCACCAACCTTTCAGTTCGAGGCCAAGAACAAACCATTTGTGCCACCTAGGGATTTTGACTGTCACTAGAGTCTTTCAAAGAATGGAGTGTCCATGCCCCCTGACATGAGAAGTGATTATAGAGGACACAGATCCTGTTGCTGTTGAATCAATTCCGACTTATAGTGACTGTCATGGATTGAATTACATCCCCCTGGGCCATGATTCCTGGTATTGTGTGACTTTCCTATATGTTGTAAATCCTGCATCTACGATGTTAATGAGGGAAGATGGGTGGCAGTTGTGTTAGGAAGGCAGGACTCAATCTTCAAGATTAGATTGTGTCCTGAGGCAATCTCTTGAGATATAAAAGAGAGAAGTGAGCAGAGAGACAGGGGAACCTCATACCACCAAGAAAGCAGTGCCAGGAGCAGAGCGTGTCCTTTGGACCCAGGGTCCCTGTGCTGAGAAGCTCCTAGTCCGGGGGAACATTGATGAGAAGGCCGACAGAGAGAGAAAGACTTCCCCTGGAGCCGATGTCCTGAATTTGGACTTTTAGCCTTCTTTACTGTGAAGAAATAAATTTCTCTTAGTTAAAGCCATCCACTTGTGGTTTTTCTGTTGTAGCAGCACTTGACGACTAAGACAGTGACCCTATAGGACAAAGTAGAACTGCCTCAAGGCAGTAGGGTTTCCAAGGAGCAGCTGGTGGATTTGAACTGCTGAACTTTTGGTTAGCAGCCATAGCTCTTAACTACTCCACACCTGTTAAATTAGGTGGGATAAGGCAGCTCTCTTTAAAGCCATCTTTTGGCCCTGAATCTGTCAAGGAGAAAGTCGCCATGCTAGAGCGCCTTGACCCCTTTTCTAGTGTGTGCCCGTCTCCCTTCTAAACAGAGTGGTACAAGGTCTCAGTACACAGCTTCAGCAGATGCTGGCATTGAGGCTGATCTTAATACTGCTACTATATTTGAGGGTTTAATCGTCTTTAAGGAGCGCTAGTGGTACAATGATTAAGTGCTCGACTGCCAACTGAAAGGCTAACATTTTTAACCTGCCTACCAGATCTGTAGGAGAAAGACCTGGCCATCTGCTTCCATAAAGACTATGGCCTAGGAAACCCTGTGGGGCAGTTCTACTCTGTCACATGGGGTCACGATGTGTTGAAAATTGACTCAACGGCCCCTAACAACAATTGTCTTTAATTTTTATGGAGGCAGTTCCTTTAGGCTAAGAGATTTTCCACTTAGAGTAGTGATACAAGCTACTTTTAAAATATTTATTTAAGTTAAAAAAAAAAAGTGACTTGATTAAAATTAAGGAAACAAAAGCGTAGGTGGACTTGGCTATGATAAATACCATGAAGTACATGTGCAGGGGTCCTAGTCAGGCCACACTGGCCTGAATGAGCTGCTGGCTTGGAACAGGCCTTCAGGGCCTGGCCCCTCCCAGGGCAGCCTGGCCAGTGCCTCTCTCCTCCACGGGGCGATTTCTCTGACTCTGCAAGTCTGTTTACCTGCCTCTGCTCCCATCTCTCAGCCCCAGCTCAAATTACCATTCTTCTGTAGCTCTAGCTTGCAGCCTCCCTGATCTAGGCCCTGGCAAGGGCTTTGGCCCTCCAGGAGCTCATCTGCCTCCTCTGTGAGCAATGTCTACCTTCCCAGGGACATGAACGAGGTAATTGTGTGTGTAAAGCACTCAGCATAGTGCTTATGGGCTCCAGGGATCAGAGCCCAAGCTGGGCCCCAGGCAGTGTTGGACACCTCAGAAGATCTTCCAGATTTCCCCAAGCTACCTCTCCCTCCTCCTCCTCCTTTTTCTTCTTAGATGGCACAAATCCAAGCAAGGCTATCTTAGTTTTCTAGGGCTACTGTAACAAAAAATACCACAAGTGGGTGGCTTTAAAGAACAGAAATCTATTTCCTCACAGTTTGAATGCTGCAGGTGCAAATCCGGGTGTAGGCTCTAGGGTAGGATCCTTAACCCTATAGGTAGCCCCAGGCGTTCCTTGATGTACTTTGGCTGCTTGCAGATATATCTTCACATGGCATCTATCCCCTCCATCCCCCCTGTGTGTATCTATGTCTATTTTGCTGTTTTTATAAGATTCCACTCAGAAGGGATTAAGTTTAGGACCTATCCTACTCAAGTATGAATGACCTCATTAACATAACAAATGAAAACATGTATTTTCAAACAAGGTCATGTTTACAGGTACTGCAACATAATTTTTTGGGGGGACACAATTCAATCCATAAAAAAAGCCCAGCTGTTATTTTATTATTTACATGTTCCCATTTATCCCATTCCTCACTTTCATCCCCTGCCCTATAGAAACCATTCTAATGTGCTTAATGTGTCTTTTGTTTGTGTTCTTATCAAATGTGTCTGGCTGTTTAGTGTATATGTATTTTTAAATTATTAAACAGTATTGAGTTATAGATGTCATTCTGTTTCTCACTTTCTTCACCTAGTACTATGTTGTTGTTCTTACCTTTTTTCACATTTATTAAATGTTTATATTGAAATATATCTCTAATAAAGTGCAAAGATCTTAAGTGTACAGCTCAGCAGATGTTTACTAAGTGAAGACACCATTGTAACCACCATTAAGATCAGGATGGAGAACATGACCAGCATCCCTGAAGCTTCTCTGGGCTTCTCAGTCATTCTTGTTGTTATGCTGTTAGTTGCCATCAAGTTGGCTCCAATTCATGGTGACCTAGTCATTACCACGCCACTGTTATGATTTCAGTTACCATATGTCTTAGTCACTTAGTGCTGCTCCAATAGAAATACCACAAGTGGATGGCTTTAACAAAGAGAAGTTTATTTCCTCACAGTCAAAGTTCGCTAAAAGTCCAAATTCAGGGCGTCAGCTCCAGGGGAAGGCTTTTTCTCTCCATCGGCCT